CTTGGCGCCGCCCTTGCCGCGCAGCGACGCGCTCTGCTGGCCGCCGCCGCCGCGGTGGTTGTGGTGGTGCTTGGGGTCCTCGGTGTCCCGGTTGTGCAGGCGGATGAGCCCGATTTTGCGGAGAAGTGTGGCCATTTTAGGCTCGGTGCCGGCGGGGGGCTACCCCCGGCTTCTCCCCCGGAGCCCGCGAGCCTGGGCGCGGGGGACGCGAGATAGCGGCGACTGGCGACCGCTCAGCGGGGCGCGGCGCGGGCCACCCCGGGCGCCGGCGGCCGTGGCGCAGCAGAGCGGGCAGCACACGCGCTCGCCGGCTGCTGTGTCGCCGTGTCATATGCCGGGGCCCGCTCCGGCTCCGGCCGCCCAAGGAGGGCAGGAGTGGAGGAGCCGCGGTACCGCTGCGGGTCCTCGAGCTGATCCCTGGGCACAGTCCCTGGAGTGCCGGTGTCCGCTGTCCTTTGTGCGCGGCGCTGGCCGCGCTGGCCCCGAGTCCAGGCGCCGCGCCGGGGCGCGCAGAGTAGCCCGCAGCGCCCCGGAGGGCGGCGAGGTGGCCGCGGGTTGTCGCCTGGGGAGCCTGCCCGGCCGTGCCGCGCTGGCGGCTACCGCGAGGCCCGGGCCGGTGCTGCTCGCGGCGCCGCCGCCGCTGCGGCTGCTGACATTGCAGAGGCGGCTGCTCCGTCTGAGCAGAGCGCGGCGCGGAGGGGGCGGCACTGCCGGCCGGGAGGGGGGGCGCGGGGCGGAGCCGCCGGCCTGCCTGCGCCGAGCCGCCCCCGCCGCCCGCTCCCTCCGCGACACGCGCACGACCGCTGGGGGGAGACAGCGGAGCGCGCGGGACTCGCGGGCACTGGGCTGCCGGGGAGCCGCGTGCGGAGCCGGCCAGCCCCCAGCCCGCCGGGGCCGGGAGGCAAGAGGGGAGCCTGCGCGCACGCGGGGGTCTCGGAGGCGTGGGTCCTCCCGCCCTTGCCCCCCCCCCCGCCCGAGCCTCAGACCCCCACTTAACCTCATTAGAACAAGCCAGAGGCGAAGGGAGGAAAGCAACTGTTTATTGATTCCTTGGCCTCAGATGGAGCTCGGTGTCCCCACACAGCAGTGGAGGGCCAGCTGGGGCCGGGACGAGCGGCGGGGACGCTTTCTTAAGGACCCATTAAGGAATCAGCCGTGGGGGTGGGATGCGGGATTGGTGCCCCTTGAAGAATGGCCCCCCTCCCCTCACCACTTCTGCTGTCACATCTCACTCCTCCTCAGCGACCATCCCCTCCCGCCCGCCACGCCGGGTCTCTGCGTTCGGAGGAAGGGCTGGGAGTGGGGGGTGGGGAGGAGGGACCAGCCCAGCGCTGCCTGTGTCTCCTTTCCCAAGGCTCCGAGGAGCGAATCCGAGGGAGGCATCCCAAGCCAGCGTGGCCGTTGCCCTGGGACGAGGGGTGCTCCCGCTGAGCCCCCAAAGCGCCAGGTACCCGCGGATGACTTCCGGGACCACCCGGGGAAGGAGAAGACGAGGTTCACCTTCGACTTGGCTGCTCTCATCCTTGTCCTTCCCACTGAAATCAGATTATTTTTAATCTCGGGCAATTGCAAGAAAAAAACAAGTTCAGATCCCCCAAAGCTGGAAGAACCTGAGGACTCGCGAAGCTTCTATGTTTCCGGGAAGCTTCTGACTCTTGGGGGCCGCTCACGTGTGCGCGCGCGCGTGAGATGATTGTTGAAATAATGGAAAAATCACCCCATAGACTGAAGTGGTTTCAGATTCTAAATTTCACCGCTGCTGTTCGTGGTTTGACTTTTAACCTGGAGCGCCTGATCAATTCGAGAGTCATCGTGATGACTTTTTATTCTTAACATCTTCTACCATGTTTACTTTCCCCAAATTTAGAAATTTTCATTCTGAAAAATAACTCTTCAGGCCACCATGGAGACCGTTTCACAGCCCTATGGGGTCTGGGGTTCAGTGCTTTGGGGTTGTTGAACAGGAGAGCCGTGTCCAGCTTGTGTAAAGGAGCAGGGGCTGCCTGCCCTCTTGGGGTGCCCAGAAGTAGCTAGACAGACAGCCACAGCCTTGGGGGCCCCTGGCTTTCAAGTGGACGGAATGTAGGCAGTGGCCTGGGGAAGACAGTGGCTGGGCATGGAATCCACCTGCAGCACACTGAAGGGCTATTGGTCCTGGTCTCCTGTGTTTGGTTTGGTTTTGTGGTCTTGTGACTCCATTCCATCCACCCCAGTTTTTAAGACAGGGTGAGAAGGAAGATGTCAATGTCTGTTAAAGCGTATGGGTTTGCTGAACACAAGGGATCGGGGGTATGAAAAGGTGGAAAGTGGACCTTGAAGGAGGATAGGCAGGTGTTAATGCTTTATTTACTTCCATAGAAGGCCTCTCGAGTTTTACCTGACCCATTATTTAGGTGAAGAAACAGTCTCAGAGGGGCTCAGCATGGGGCCCAGCTGGGACCCATGCCCACTTGGACCCTCTGGCTCTGTGCTGGCTCACTACACGGAGGGTCACAGACCCAGGTGCAGTAGCGCCACTGCCTTAGGAGGTGAGAAAGCCTCCACTAGGGGTGATTGTCAGGGTCTCAGAATGAGCTGACCTTGGGCGAGGCCTCAGGAACATTCTGTGGTGCTGATGGCCCCAATCCCACCTGAAACAGGTGTGTCCTCAGCCGTGGTCTGGGAATGGTTCTCTAGCAGCTGTCTGGAGTGACCACATGACATTTCTGGTTGTAGATAACGTTGAGAATGAAGGGATCATAATTGATGCTGATGCCAGGACAAGAGGCCAAACCGGAGCTAGCTGACTCTGTGGCTATAGGCATCTCACTTGTCACCCATCTTACTCAGAGAATCTTGTGTCTTTGGCTAAAGCCAAATGTTAGCTAGAAATTGAGAACGGCCTGTATTTACAAGAGGGGAAATGTTAAGTAAGTCATCCCTGGTCTACGTGAGAGTATGTTATGCATCGATAACATTATGTAAGAGTGCACAGCAAGATGCAGATATCTATGATCCACATAATAATTTTAAGTGAAAATGCAGAGTGAAAAGTTATTTCCACACTGTACTTACAGCTCTGTGAAGTTATGCAGAAGGAATGAGGCTAGGAGAGGCCGTCCTGAATCATAACGGTTGTTACGTTATCACAGGGAGGCAGCTCTACTTACCTCCTCCCCAATCCTTTCCAGTCCATGGATCCAAACATTTGCTTCAGTGGCAGCACAGTAAGGCCAGGGGTGGGCAGGAAGGTCTGTATCATTTGTAAACCCTGCTTCTCCTATCCCAGAAGATTCTAGAGTGTTCCACCATACCAGAAAAATGAAGGGATATTTATCTAGCCCAGCAGTGGGTAGAGGTTACATTTTGCTGTGACAGTTATTCTTTTTTTATGTGATTTTCATATATTTTGCTACTGAAGTTTTAATAGTTGTCTTATTGAAGATTAAGTTCATGACATTGGAACAGTTGAATTATGTGGATTTAGTTAAATAAAATAATTTCTAAGAACAACTTTGGGTCCGTAGCTCCTCCGATCTTCTCAGATAGTGATGGGACAGGGACAGGAGATGTTTAGTCCAGTAGGAAGGGGGGGGGCGGGTGGGAAGCTGGTTATCACCGAGGCTTTCATCTGAGAATTAAGTCGAATCTGCCGTATCTGCTGCCTCTTCCCTGAGCGTGTAGTCAGTGGTGCCGGCCCTGCTGTGTCCAGCTACAGTGTCCCTGAAGAGACAATAACTGGAGCATGCCCACTTCATCTCTGCCTCAGAGGACTGCCTCCCAGTTTCCCAGCTGGTCTCAATCTCCTAACGTCAGGGAGACATCAGCAACACCACCTCCAAGCACCTGCCCTAAATTTGTATGTTGTTTATTCTCTTAACTAAGGTGTTAAGATCACTGTCAAGATTCAAAAACATTTCCTGCTGAAATGTTTTAGCAGAGCAGCACGGTGGGGTGTCTATGAGACGTTCCTAGGTCACATGACCTCTTATGCCATTCACCTCCCATCATCCAGGCTGGCAGTTAGGTGGCACTTAGCGTATATCAAGCACTGTCCCAAGCACTCACTAAATCTTCAAGACACCTCTAATAAGTAGGCACTATGGGTATCCCTACTTACAGGTGGGTGAAGTGCAGCACAGGG